CCTCTTCCTTCGGCCCGAGTGGCGCCTGCAGCTATTCTAGACACAGATGTGGTGGCCTCAAGGCAGGCCTGGAACCACGGACAGGGCTTCCTCTGGGGGCAGAGATGGTACACGGAGTGGCTGCAGTCCCATGACATCTCTGCTGGGGCCAGTCAGTGCCCCAGGTTAAAGAGTGATGCTCTGCCGGACATCGCCAACAATGCAGGAAAAGCTCTGTGGGAGAAGCTGCTTTACACAAAGTTGCCCTTTTCTGGAATGCAAGGCTCCTAAACTAGCTGCAGGCTGGAGGAGGGACTAAGTGGGTCCTAGTCCCCCATGTTTAAGACAATAATGAAAGATTCTGTACAAAGTTACCAAGTCTACACGCTGAGTGAGCCAAGGGTAGGTGGGGCCTGATCCTTGTGGATGAATGTGCCCGGGAGAGTTGGCCTCACCTGGGGGAGGCACGTGGAAAACGTACACATTTACAGGGCTCGGGAAAGGTCAGGGAGACGAGACTATGTAGAAAAGGAGGCAGTGGGTAATGTGGAAAATCCTGTACAGTGGCAATGGGGAAAAAAAGGCACAAGGACAAAGACCGCAAACCATGCAGAGGAAAACAGCCTGTGCAGCACAGCAAAGTGGATGGGCCCTGGCAGGAGGCAGGGTTACCCTGGGGACAACAGCACTTGGATCCTGCAGGAGACACGGCCTGGATGCCATCCCCAGCTGGTGGCTCCGGGGCAGACATCTCTACCTTACAGATGGGGAGAGGAGCAACCTACGAGGTCAGGGCAGGAAGGCCATATGGGAAACCCTGCCTGGTGAGCATGGTGGCATTATACTTCCCCAGGGTCTACACTTTTAGAAACAAATCTTTCTAGAAAGCAGCCTATTTTCTCTGGTGGGCAGCAGAGAATATGGCAGAAGGGCCTCGGAGTTGTCCTGCCATGCAGGTAGGGCAGGCTCCTGGTTCCAGCCTCTCCTGCTTCCTGCTGGCTGCTCCATTCACATGTGCACTCAGGGCAGGAAGTGAGGACCTGAAGGGTGCCTAGGATCAGCACTCAAAGTCATCCACTGAATGAACGGCCCTTCTAACTTGAGGTCCCTTGGCGCAGCAGGCCTCAGTCTTACCAGCCAGCAGCATCACCCTAGAGGGGATTCCCTGGGTCCCAACAGGAGGGCCAGAGTCTAGGAGAAAGGACTGTGGAGGATACCAGCACTGAGTCCTAGGTGGCCCCTTTCCTCAATCTAGAATCCACAATAGCCCTTGAAAAAGAGTCACTGTGGATCTGCCGGGCAACCAAAGTCATTTTCTTGGCATGGTGACCATGCAAAACTTTGCTGGTACGATCACATCTAAAGTTAGTGTTTGTTTTTTGAAAAAATAAAGACAAGAGTTTCACCATGTTGCCCAGGCTGGTCTGGAACTCCTGAGCTCAGGCAATCCACTCGCCTTGGCCTCCCAAAGTGCTGAGATTACAGGTGCGAGCCACCGTGCCTGGCCTAGAGTTCGTTTTTAAGCTTAAATTTGCTAATACAGTAAACCCCACCACACACACAGGACATAGAAAGAAGGCTTCACTTCTCCCAGTTTCACCTGGCCCTGCTGGCCCCTGGAGGCTTCTGCTGGCTAAGTCCCTCATTGGAACCAAGAACCCGCACTTGCATCCCCCACCTCCACTCCCCTGAACACCAGCACCAGCGGACTAGCACTGGGAGTGTCCAGTGTGTGAGTGGGATGCTGGTTTGGCTAACAGGGAAAGAGCTGGAACTCCCTTATCAACCCAGTCAGGAAACAGACCAGAGGCAAAACCCACAAAAAAATTATCTCCTCCTGCTCAGCTATGCAAATAGGTGGCAGCTGTTTCTGAGGCTGCTTTCAGGGGGACAGCCTCACCTGTCAGTTCCCTGCCGACTCTGTTCTACCTGCTCTTTGGAATGAGCCTGTAGCCAGTATATCCCAACACATGCCACCCGCTGACTCCAGGGGCACCAGGCCGAGGTCCTGTCCACCCACTCTGGTCTGCTAACCTCCAGGTTGGTGAGAACAGTTGGATCCACCAGCTCCTGAAGGCATCTGGTCTCCCATGCTGCAGGCCAGGACCATTCAACAACATAACAGGAAAAGGTACCCTCCCAGCAAGAGTGCTTGCTGTCATTCAGCCATGGGCTTGACAAGCCCAACAGCCACTTTGACCAGTTTCTTCTACCTCTGGCCAATGACCTTCCAGGACAGGGAAGTCTCAACCTCGGGCTGCATATCATCACCTGGGGAGGTCTTTACACATCTGGATGCCTGGACCACACCCCCACCAATTCAATCCAAACCTCTGGCGGTTCAGCCCAGACAGCAGAAGCTTACAAATCTCCCAAGGTAATTCCAATACACAGCCAAAGCTGAGCCCACTGTTCTAGGCCCTCATGCAGGTTCCTGAGCTTTGTGTTTTTTCATTTTTAACTTTTGGTAGAGACAAGGTATCACTGTGTTGCCCAGGCTGGTTTAGGACTCCTGAGCTCAAGCGATCCGCCTGCCACTGCCTCCCAAGTGCTAGGATTACAGGCGTGAGCCACTATTCTGGCCTGTTCATGTTTTAAATAGGTCAGAAATAGTCACGAAAAGGAATTTCTCTGTGACAGTTCGCAAAGAAATATACCAGTTTAAAATAAAATGACCTAGGATTAACTCTGGCCAATTCAAAGTTAAAAGAAAAAAAACATTTTTACTAGAACTTTCTTAAAGCCTCTCACCGCACAGGGACTTGCTGAACCAGGAGGCACTTCATTTTCTAGTAGATAATGTATACAAAGCTCACTCCTGGTTCAGTTCATTTTGCGTGACTTCCAACTGAACACCAGGGCAGCTCAGGGCCATGTAAAATTTGAGTCTACTACAGAAACCCTCGCCCCACCCAAAAAACACCTCTAGATTTCAGATAAGTTACTGCTAATCCCTACTCGGTAGGGTTGCCAGGTTTAGCAAAAACAATAAGAACAAACAAACAAAACCCAAGTAGGACACGCAATTAAATTGGAACTACCTGAGCAGCTCTTTACAAAATTCCATGCCTGGGTCACAAAATAAACCGGAATGTCTGAGGACTCAGTCTCATCATCAGAATTTTTCAAATCTCCGCATTTCAAATATGTCCTGGCCAGGCATGGTGGCTCGTGCCTGTAATCCCAGTGCTTTGGGAGGCTGAGGCGGGAGGGTCACTTGAGGCCAGCAGCTCAAGTGAGGCAACACAGTGAGACCCTGTCTCTACAAAAAATAAGAAAAATTAGCTGGGCATAGTGGTTCATGCCTGTAGTCCCAGCTACTGAGGCAGTTAAGGTGGGAGGATCACTTGAGCCTGGGAGTTCAAGGTTATGGTGAGCTATGACCATACCACTACACTCCAGCCTGGGCAACAGAGCAAGATCCTATCTCTAAAAATAACATCTGTCCCAAGTACAGATGTTCATTCTAAAATTATTGTCTATCTGAAGTACAGATGTTCATTCTAAAATTATTTGTCTATCTGAAGTACAGATGTTCATTCTAAAATTATTTGTCTATCTGAAATGCAAACTTAACTGGGCATCCTGTCGACTACCTTGCAGCCCCACTACTGAGGTGTAAGGGCAGAAACAAAGATCAAGCTCCCTCCCTACCACCAAGGGCTCTGGGACCTGCCAGGGGCTGTGGAGCTGGGACCCTTGGGGCATCTGCCCCCTCAAGCTAGCTTTTGAGCCCAGAAGAGTATTTTTACAAACATAGGCGATCTTTAAAAGCCAAGCAGGGCCGGGCGCGGTGGCTCAAGCCTGTAATCCCAGCACTTTGGGAGGCCGAGACGGGCGGATCACGAGGTCAAGAGATCGAGACCATCCTGGCTAACACGGTGAAACCCCGTCTCTACTAAAAATACAAAAAACTAGCCGGGCGAGGTGGCGGGCGCCTGTAGTCCCAGCTACTCCGGAGGCTGAGGCAGGAGAATGGTGTAAACCCGGGAGGCGGAGCTTGCAGTGAGCTGAGATCCGGCCACTGCAGTCCAGCCCGGGCTACAGAGCAAGACTCCGTCTCAAAAAAAAAAAAAAAAAAAAAAGCCAAGCAGACAGGCCAGGTTTTACAAGAAATGTATTCTGGCTGAAGAGAGTAAGGTTGGACTTGAGGTGTGTGTGAGCTGGAATTCAGCCCCCCATTTAAAAGCCAGTCCTGTTCCAGAGGCCCCTCTGGTGCTGCACCAGGTCCCAGGGGCCTTTTGGACTCCAGCCGCCTCCTGGAGCCTGTTCCCACGGCGCCCCCTACAGGGAGGAGCCTGAAGCACACCCCAGGCTGCCAGCTGCTTCCGCCCGCCTTTCCCATGGCAGATTCCTTCCCACGTTGTGACTCAGGCTGTGGAACCCAGGCCTCTGCAGCCTTCTCTGAAATTCCAGTGCAGCCAAAGAGTAGATAACATTTTACATATAAAATAGTCAACCCTGGGGCAAGGGCCCCATGCACCAGTACTCCTTCGACCTAACACCCAGGCCAAAGCTATGTCAGGATCTGTCTTGTTCCTTTCAGCCATGGCCATTGCTTCCTATTGGCAAATTCTCGAGAGACCCTCTCCTCATGCCTTCTTCCACTGCCTCTTTGCAGACTCTCGGGGGAGCCCAAGGAGACCCACGTCCTAAGGGGCTGAGAAACTCCAGAAGACCAACTGCCTAGCCTAGTCCTCCCGGTGTAGGTGGCTCCAAAGTCTTGGATCAGACCAATGCAACCCCATTATTTGCAGCATGAAACTAATCCCCAACATAGGATTCAAAAGAAGCCATGAGATCCAGCAAATGCAAAGGCTGATTGGAATGGAATTGAAGGTTGGTCCTGGCCACAGCCCTTTGTCATGCAGGGGTCACACCCAAGTCCCCAAATCCCCTCTCCTCACCATCACTGCCCTCTCTTTCTGCGTCTCCCCCTCCACTGTCCTTCCCAACATGCCCAAACCTTCCTTCTCATACTATAAGATGTGCTGAAGAAAACAAGAAACTGCAGGGGGGAAAATAAGACCACACACGTTTATATATATTTGGATTAAGAAAATGAATCACAAGCCATATAAAATTGAGATAAATTGGAAAACCCTAAGGTAAGTACCATGTCTATTCCCAGCTGCCTAGAACAAAAGATCCATTAAAAATCCATGGCGTGAATTTCCACCATGGATCGGAAGGATGGAAGACTAAGGTTTTCCTGCAACTTTCCCAACCACCTCCCACCAGTGCAGCGAGCGCTCCCATGACTGAGAAGCAAACACAGGTGTGTTTCTAAATGCTGGAACGAAGCGGTCTTGCTGCCACATGAGTGGAGCCCGGAGCTCAGATTCTGAAATCCAAACCCAGGCCTGCCATCACCAGGCTGTGTGGAGAATGAAGACAGGAAGCTAGGAAGATGGTCTCTCCATGCATGCATCTTAACATGCAGCCATGGGAAGGAAACTGGGATGGGAGTTGTGTTCCTCCCCAAAACTCATTTCTTTGGTTGCCTGATGTCAACTCCTGCCTTAGACATCCCATCCCAAACTCTCTTTCTCCTTCGTTTTTATCCCTTCATGTTACACCCAGTGAATGCTGCTTCATTGTCTTAAAACCGAAACAGAAACGGGGAGGTAGGTAGCACGGATGGGGAGTGCATGAACTCTACAGGATGAGGGTGCTCTGCACTAGCTCCTCTGAAACCTGAGTCCTCTGTTCACTCTGCACACACATTACAGAGGGCTGCCGGCCGGCGGCCAAGGCGTTTGGTGAGGGCCCCATCTCGTGGACCCTCCAGATGCCCCTTCATCCTCTCTGAGCTTGAACACCGGGGCTTGAAAGGTGGCCAAAGAGCTGGCGAGGACACAAATATGGGGCATTCGAACTCCTAGGAAAGATCACAATTTTGCTCCCACGCCCAGGGGACTAGGAGTGGGGTGAAAGCCCATCATACTAGAGCGAATGTGGATCCTTATCCCCAGAGGTAGAATCATTTTACCCAGTACCAGAAACACGAGCTTCCAGTTCTTGTTTTTACAGTAACTCCTGATAGCAGACCTTGCCCCCTCCCACTTCCAGTACCCTCCGCCCCTTGCAAAGGGGCCACAAAGTGCATGCACGGCTAACCGTGTGGATGCTGCCCACAGCCATGGCCACTCACCCCTCGCTCGTGTGCACAGCCTCCCCACATATATACACAGGTACACGTAACGCACGGTGGCCAGAGAGACATTTACACTGTGAGTGTGAGGCCCGGCTTAGGCCTGCATCCTTGGGCAGGGTCTGCCCCTTGGTTCCAGGGTCCTAAGGCTGCTCTGCAGCCAGCCCCGTGCCTTAGTGTTTTATCTCGAGGATGGAAGGGTTGTGGTCCAGGATGGCGAGGATAATCTTGTCCATGTACTGCCTCAGCCGGAAGTTGATCTCCTCCTGCTCCTTGAGGGCTTCCATTAGCTGAAGGAAATGGGAAAGATAGGTCAGTGGCTGGGTCTGGGATGGGGTGCAGGCAGAGTCCAGATTCCCAGGCTTGTCGCAGGCCAGTGCCTAACAACAGAGGGCATCAGGAGACCCTGGGCAAGGCGGGCCCCAGGACAGCCTCAGCATTTGGATGCCAGGACGAGAGTCGAAGTGGCTCAGCCCCTAGTATTACCTATGCAGGTGCCCAGGCCCCACCCCCAGAGATTCCAATGTGATCAGTTTGTAGAGGGGGCCCAGGTGTGGGTAATCTTTCGTAAAAGTTGGGAACATGGGCCAAAGTCATTTAAGATCAAGACTGACAAAGTCCCAGGGCCCCTAAGACTCCAAAGGGGAGCTGTCTCCTGCCTGGACACCTCTCCCCACCCCCAGCCCCACACTGCTCTTCTCCAGGACAGTGTTCTTTCGGACATTGCTGACATGCTGCCTCTGCCCTGGGACTGGGGCCCAGCTCACCTGGGAGCTCCTTGAGGACAGAGGTCAGTTCATCGCCCCGTGTCCCAGGCAGAGGGTAAGGCTCAGTGACAGTGTCTTACAATTCCTGTTCAAATGCAGCCAGGGCATTCTGGAGGCCCGGCCTTTCATAAGCACACTCTGGTGTGGCAGGAAGGGTAGGCTTTGGCTCTGGAGAGAGCTGGGTCCCTCTCCCTCCCTGGCTGGGTGGTCCTGGGTTCCACCTTCCCAGCTCAGAATGTGGAGCTGTTCCTCAAGCCTCAGAGTCATCAGGAGGTTCAGTGAAAACACATCACAGAAGCAGCAGGTGCTGGAGAAATACTAATGTCCTCTCCCTCCGGGTTGGGAAGAGTGGGAGTGATCGCCTAACCCAGAGTCACAGCTTGATCCACTCAGCTGGCTATGTTGGCACTTTTCTGGCAGACCTAAGACTCCCACGGCACTCTGAACCAAACCTGCACTCCTTCCAGCACAGGCAGAAGTCAGAGCTGACTTGACTTCTCCAGCAGCCCCCTCCCCTGCTCACGGCTTTGCCCTCTGTCATGTGGAATAGTTGTAGATGGGACTCTCTGCCAAGCCCTGGCCTGGTTTTCTCACTCTGGGCAGGTGGGGGCTGGGAGAAGGAATTACAGAGGAGCGGCCAGGCCCCAAAGCAAGAGCCAGTGATGTGGTTACCTCATCACGCGAGGCAGTGTCTATCTCCGCAGCCAGAGACTGGGCTTTAGTCTGGGCAGCAAAGAGGTTTTTTGCTTCGTAGAGGCTGAGGCTCAAGATCTGCCCATTCAAGTCATCATTCTGATCCCGCAGCTTATAATTCTCCTACAGAGAGAAGGACGAAGGTGACGTCAACCCCAAGAAGCATCCACAGCCCACTGGAACCCACTTCTCCACATCCACCGTCCCCGACCCGCCGCCAGCGCCATTCCCACAGGTATGCATCACGGTCAGTTCAAGGGGCCATAGATGTTGCAGCCTTTGCTAGGCGCTGGGGGGTAAGAGGGCTGGGTCCTGGTCCAGGGGCCCAGCGTCCTGGGAGTGCACAGGGTTTGTGGAGGAGTTATAGCCCTGCTCAGAGCAGCCAAGGCTCCTGGCCATCCCTTCCTCCCTGGGCCCTGCGTAGGGACACCACCCACCCAGCAGCCCAGCCTCCAACACTGGCCCTTGCCGAAGGAAGTGATGCTCTGGGCTCTCTGGGCAGGCCGGCCAGCTCATTTCCTTGGCTCCCCGGCAGCCATGCTCTGAACCCTGCTTGGCTGGAGTTGTCCCAGGCAGACCCACCCAGATCCCATGCACCAGTCTCACGTGCCAGCTTTTGCCTAAAGAGCCCTAATGCTCACACCTGGGACCCTGGGCGGCCCACCCCTAGACTAGGAGAAGGGCTGGGGTTTTAGGACTTCCGGGAGAGCACAGCCACCAGCCCCTTTGTCCCCAGTGGAGCAAACTCAGAAGGATAATTTATGCTGCAGGCTCTTCCACCTGCAGGGTCAGGCAGAGCTGACACTTCAGCCAGCACCACCTGGCCACTGCCTCCTCCTGATCCACTCCCCCACCCAACGGTCTTTAGCTAAGGCAGCGCTCCTTGAACTGCAATCTTCTGGCTAGGCACAGTGGCTCATTCCTGTAATCCCAACACTTTCAAAGGCTAAGGGCGGGAGGATCCCTTGAGCCCAGGAGTTCAAGCCTGGGCAATTTAGGGAGACCCCATCTCTACAAATACATAAATAAATAAATTAGCCAGGTGTGGTGGCGCTCTCCTGTAGTCCTAACTGCTCGAGAGGCTGAGGCAGGAGAACTGCTTGAGCCCAGGAATTTGAGGCCGCAGTGAGCTGTGATCACACTACTGCCCTCTAGCCTGGGCAACACAGTGAGACCCTGCCTCAAAAAACAAACAACACTAGCTGGGCATGGTGGTGGGTGCCTGTAGTCCTAGCTACGTGGGAGACTGAGGCAGGAAGATCACCTGAGCCCAGGAATTCAAGGCTGCAGTGAGCGATGACTGTGCCAAAACACTCCAGCCTGGGTATCAGAGAAAGACCCTGTCTCTTAAAAAAAAAAAAAAAAAAAAAAAAAAAAAAAAGGAACCTTGACCTCAGGGTCTACTTCTCGGAGCACCCAATGCCAGTGGGCACTATACTGCAGCTGAGTATAGTCTCATCCTCCACCCTGAGCACCAAGGCAGACAGCAGTGTCTATTTCTTTATATGGATATAAAGGGGAGATCTGCAGATCGATTTTCCTGACTGTGAAATGGGATAGCCAGCCCTGACAAACAGGTTGCTGAGAAGCAGACAGGCAGTGCTGCTACAGCTCTGGGCTCCCCTGTCACAGATCCTGCATAGGAAACCCAGGCGGTGGACCCAGCCACCCCGCCCCACTGGACACAGAGACTGCTAGAACCACCTGCTTGAGCCGCTTGACCTCGTGCTCGAGCTCCACCTCGCGGGCCCTGGCATTGAACTCGCCTAGGCCAGAGGAGGCACTGCGGCCCCTTCCTGGCCGCTCGCAGTCCAGCTTGTACATCTGCAGGTGCTCCAGCTCCTTCCGCAAGTCTTCGATGAGCTGCGAGGGAGAGAGGCAGGTTGGCAGGAGCAGGGACGCTGGAAGGAGCCCTGGTGCCTGCTGGCCTGGGACCCACCTCCTGCGTCGCCTCCCGCTCCTTCTGGAACTCGAGGCGGTTCTGCCGCAGCTTGTCCATCATGCGCTTGTACAGGTCCATCTCATCTTTGAGCCGCAGGCTGGTGTCCTCCAGACGGTCAGACATGCGCTGCCGCTCCTGGAGCAGGGAGACCCGGTCAGGGAAGGAGAGTTTCCAGAGAGGGGCTCACTATGTCCAGGGGTATCCCTGGGGTCTGGTCAGACATCTTCACAAGGCAGATGCACAGTGAAACCAGCTCCCTCAGACGGAGCCCTGAGTCTTGGCTTACAGAAACGGCTAGAGCCCCGATGATTCTAGAAACACAACTAAAAACCTCAGGCCTCTGAAGTCCTTCAACAATGCTAGATGCAACCTGAATTGAAGGTATTAGCCCAACTAGAAGCTAACCTCTTTCTAAAACTGTAATTCTTTTTCATTGTATAAAGTAATAAATACATTCGCTGTAGAAAACTTGGAAAATCAAAAATACAGAAACACAAGTTGTTATTCACTTTTTTTGCATTTCTTAGGGGGTAGGGCATTTGTTTAGAATTTCAGAAGCAATAAACTAAAGGACCCTGATGGCCAGCCCTCCCCCTCTGGGAGTTTGGCCCCAAGCCTGGATCTGCTACTCACCTCGTCCAGTTTCTCTGTTTGAGACTTGAGCCGAGTCACTGTTGTTCTAAGCTCTGTATTTTCTTCCTCCAACTGCTGCACCCTGGCGAAAGGAGAAAGACAAATCTCAGAAACCTGGAATGGAGACTATCTGATAAGGGCCTGCCAGTCTGCAGTGATTCTCTGCTTCCTCCAAGAGGGAAGATACCAGAAACCAACTGAGAGAAAGAATATGATTATTATGTCAAAGACAATTTAGCCGTGAGCTTCCTATCAGCCAAAGCAAAATAGTAAGGATACTAAATTATTATCGTTCTTATTTTCTTTTTTTTTTGAGACAGAGTCCTGCTGTGTCGCCCAGGCTGAAGTGAGGTGGCACAATCTCAGCTCACAGCAACCTCTGCCTTCCTGGCTCAAGCGATTCTCATGCCTCAGCCTCCTGAATAGCTGGGATTACAAGCGTGCACCACCATGCCTAGCTAATTTTTGTATTTTTAGTAGAGATGGGTTTTGCCATGTTGGCCAGGCTGGTCTCAAACTCCTGGCCTCACGTGATCTGCCCACCTTGGCCTCCCAAAGTGTTGGGATTACAAGAGTGAGCCACCACACGTGGCCTTTATTTTTCCAATAAGTGGAAACATTCATTAGAGTAGGAACGCAGATTCTGTTTGTATGCATCCTTCAGATCCTCAAACATGGGGATGTTTTTCTGCTAGATGGAGTCTTCTTGTGGCTTCTGCGACTGGGCCCTCCTGTTAAGACTCTGTAACCGGAAGGCAGTGATCATATTGGCTTTTCATTCCCCGCCAACAGCATCTCATCCAGGGCTCTTCTCTGAGCACTCACTGCACCTGCCTCTGATGACCACAGGTATGGGCTCTGACAGTAATAATCCTCTGTGTTAGCATTCACACAGGAATTCCACAAAGGGAATCCTAAAGGGATTCCACAAGAAGACAGAGCCTGGGTGTTCAGGTCTGTTTTTGTTTGTTTGTTTGTTTTGAGACAGAGTCTCAGTGGCATGATCTCAGCTCACGGCAACCTCTGCCTCCCAGGTTCAAGCGATTCTCCTGCCTTAGCCTCCTCAGCAGCTGGGACTATAGGCATGCACCACCATGCCTGGCTAATTTTTGTATTTTTAGTAGAGATGGGGTTTCACCATGTTGGCCAGGATGGTCTCGATCTCCTGACCTCATGATCCACCTGCCTTGGCCTCCCAAAGTGTTAGGATTACAGGCGTGAGCCACTGTGCCCAGTCTCAGGTCGCTTTTAAATGGTCCGAGAGCAGGTGCAGGTGAGTTGGGCCGTCGGTGGCACCAGAACCGAGCAGGGTCACTTCTGGCACCGATTCCTGCAGACCATCTTGTTCTCAACCTACCACCTCCCCATCACATCCTCTTTCCTGGAAGGATGGCTTCTGGGCCTCCACTGCCCTCTGGGCTCCAGAGAGGAATTCCGCCCCACCACCCGCAAGCGGCCCCGAGCTGGTGGAAGTGGTAGGGAACCAAGCATAGGGCAGGACTCTGGGAACACCACTCGGATATTTTACATGAATGGCGCCCCTGGAGCTGTGCGAGGGGCACATGTTAGGAGATAGTTCCCAAGGGCTGGCTTTCTGCGCTTTGTCCTGTGGCCCAGGTTCACACTGTCTTTTACCACCTCCCGTGTCCCAGCCACCTCTCTTGGGCCAGCTGCCAGAGGCAGGCTGAGCGAGAGCAGTCACCCTTAACCAAGCCTCCAGAAACAGATGCAAAACAGCAGCTTCTAGAACAGAGTCAAAATGTAAAATGAACCCCTGGTGGGTAACTTAGCAAAGCAGGTCTCAGATATCGGGGAGTTGGGAAGTCTCCTCACCAAACTGCACAGGGGCAGGGACACAGGGGCAGGGAGGTACCTGCCTGAGAGGCCAACTCCCAGTCATTTTCTCAGCAGCCCACCAGCCACCACGTGGGGCTTGGCAACTCTGGGAAGCCTCAGCATGGAGACTGGGGCCTCAGGGGGCCTGAGGAGTGCTGGGGCAGTTGTCCTCTCTGCCAGAAGCCCAGGCGGCCTCCTCGGCCTCGGACAAGGGCCACAAAGGGGCTTCATCACAGAGGCATCATCGTAGCCCTCACCTATGGGAAGGGTCTGCACTTACATCAGCTCACCCACCCACACAGCCGCTCTGTGGGGCACACAGGGAGGTGACCCAATACGTCCAAGACCATGGAGCTAACGGGAGACCAACCCAGATCCCTGGCCCCAGGCTGCTCCTCGTCCTGCCTGCCTCACATTCCAATGGTGAAGCCACAGGTACACGCAAGGAACAGGAGCCGGGTTTTCCATTTACCTTGGCCCTGGGGCTCTGGCTCAGTCCCTCAGGGGTCAGGGGAGAATCTGACAGCAGGGGGCGCTCTAGGCCTGGACATTAGGCCCAGCCCAGGCCCTTTTCTCATTGACATATGTGTAGTTCGCATTACCAAATGTGAGCCACGCTCCTGGGAACATTCTTTAGCGAACTTTCTGAAGAGCATATGCCTCTGTGTTTCTCCTGGTATGAAAGTGGAACTGTTACTACTGGGAAGGCTCAAGACGCTGCCCCTCAGCCTCAGCTTCCCTTCTATAAAATGGGGATAGCACCTATCCCACAGGGCTGCCCCAGGGCAGGGGATCCCTCTGAGGGAGGGGCTCAGTGGAGGGGCCCACCTGGCATTGAGCAGCTCCACCTCGGTGGCCTTCTCCCTCTCCAGCTTGCTGTAGGCCTCGCGGTGGCGCCGCGCCTCCTCCTCCAGCGCCTGCTCGGCTGTGGTCTCCTGATCCTTCACCATCTCCTCCAGCTCATGCACCCTGAGGACAGCACAAGGGGCAAGCTCTTGGGGCCTGCACTATTTCACCCCAACCCAGGCTGTGGCACCGGGAGCCCTGGGCCCTAAGACCCTGAGTCACTGGCATGCCCACCGAGGGTGTGTGGGCCAGTAGCTTTCAGAGAGATGAACAGGGACACCACATATCTAGAGGGGGTGCCGGTCACACATGCCATGAAGGAGCAGGCCTGGCAGTCAGAAGGTGGGGCGCTCAGGGCAGCACAGGGAGGGACCGCCCCCACCAGGCCCTGCAGCCACACCTGGCTGGAAGCACTCAGGCCTCACCTCTACTTTTTGTACTAATCCGTCCCGGCCACCCCTCTGATTAATAATTCAGCTTATTGGGCATCTTGACTCCCAAAATAGGCACATCCCGGCCAGTGGCCTGAAGTCTGCCCCAGACCTGGGACAGGGCCAGGGGCACGTAGACGTGAGCACCTCAGTGACAGCCTGGTTGGTATTTTGGTCTGGGGTACGGCTCACTGGCAACAGCCCCTCCACCAGGCTGACCTTCTGGGGTGTACAGAAGGGCCCAAGATGGGTCCTGGGACAAGTTAGAGGACCGGACCCCTGGCCAGGGTATGTCCCCCAAGGGTCATGCCATCGATGAGGACAACTAAACCCTGCATCCACCACTGCAGACAGCATCAGGAACGGCAGGCTCAGGGGACTTCTAGCAGCAGCAGTGCTGGACCCTTCCCACCGCCCAGTTCACACTGGCCTGTCCCCTGCAGAGCTTGTCCCTAGGAAGCGACATCAGGCTCCTGTCACTGTATGAGAGACAGTGGATCCCCACTCCCATCTTGGACCAGCCCTGTGGCTGCAGACCTCAGGGGTGGAATCCATCTGGCCTAGAGCCAAAGTCGAGCTCCAACCTGTCTCCCTGTCCCTAAGGTCCTGTCCTGGGCACCACATGTGGGCAGGGCCACGTGACAAGAGGCTGCTGCATCACAGACCCTCAGAGCTGCAAAGGCATGAGGCTGCCTCCTCCCGGAGGTCTCAGCAAGAAGGACCCCCCTTTGTTCCCCAGAGTCACAGCCAAGCCCCCAGCGCCCTGCCTGCCTGACCTGTGCACCAGCTGCGTGTTCTCTTGCTTCAGCTTGCTCTTCAGGTCCCCATTGGTCAGGCTGTCATTCTCCAGCTCTGTCACCTTCTTTTCCAGGAAGCTTACCTGCAGCATGGGGCAGGGGTTGGGTGGAGAAGACCCCTGAGGCCACAGAACTGAGAACCTCGACGCCGTGAGGTTCATGAGCAGGACCTCCAAACCACTGTGTATCCGAGAACAGTCATGTGTGGGGTGAGGGGCGGGGAACACACCAGGGCCACCTATCCCCAATTCCTGGGCAGGCACAGGGTCTCCCAAGTCCCCAGACAGTAGCCCGAGCACACCCCACCTCCCCTGGGAGCAGGCACGCATTCAGTCCCTTCTCCAGCCACCCAGGGCCCACCTTCTCTGTGATGTCATTGTCACAGGAGTCAATGCTGTCCCGGAACAGGTCTTCGGTGCTGCCGTTGCTGCTGCTGAAGTTGCTGCTGTGCATGAGCTGCCTGCAGGGGTGGGGAGAGGGCGTCTGGCTGCAGGGGCCTTCCAGAGACAGGGGCCGACTCAGGCTACTGGCTAGGCGAGCATCCAGTACCCCAGGGGATCTACCCCTTTAAGGAGGCCGCCCTCACTCAGCCTGAGAGGGAGTGTTGCCAATCCCAGCAGATCATCCAGCCCAGAGGATGGCAAATGGGCTGTACAGACCCCCGCGGTTCCCTGGCAGACACAGTCAAAGAGGCACAGCTTCTCCTGCGGCCTCAGAGCCCTCTTCACGCCAGCAGGCTGACCTGCAGCTACCCAGTGACCTGAGCTGGCACGTGAGCCCGCTCCTCTTCCAGTGGGGAAGCCCCCGAGGAGGTAGCCCAGCTCCATGGCCCTGGCAGAGGGTCTGGGCCTCCTGAGGCTTGAGCCTCTCCACCAAGCTGGCTCCTGCTACATCTCTGGGAACTCTGGGGGATGGCAAAGGCAGAGAATTCACCAGGCCTTGCAGAGCAGTGAGCTGGGGTGGGACTGGGCCTGGTGAGCTAATCCGTGCCTGAGGCAAAATCCAGCTGCCACCCCCAGTGACATCCCCTTCCAGCTCCCTGACAGGCAGCAGCCAGGGTCTCTGCCAAGAGGCCAACACACCTAGCTCCTGGGCCCTTGCTGCCAGCTCCCAAAGCCCCGAGTGCAGACCTGGGGCCACCCTGAGCTGCTGCAGGACTTAATCAGAGCAAAGTGACCAGCCCTGATGGCACACAATCATGTCCAGATCCCCGCCTGCAGGAAACCCGGGGTCTCTTTATTGAGTATGGCTGCCAGCTCCAAGAGGGGGGAAGGGCACTGAACGCTGTGGGGTGCTCTGTCTCTCTCAGGGCATCCCTGGCGTGCCTGCCTGAAGTCAAGGTGACCTAGGATTTGAAGAAGGGACAAGGGGTGGGGAGAGGGCAGGGAGGAGCTGGCCCCTGTTTTTCAGAAGTGGACGCTGCCCTGGCTGCACTGCCCTGGGATGGCCTCATTCCCCTCTGCTCTCTCAGCCACATGCGGGCACCAGCTGAGTCTGGGCTGCTGGCAGGGAGCCCCGGCCAGTGGGCAGCATGGGGACAGCACTCAATTTGCCCTCCCCTGAGGCGGGCCTTACCGTCCAAAGGCTGTACTGGAGATCTTTCGGTTGGGGCTAGAGAGAGAGAGGAAACAGTCACTGAACAGAGGGGTTTAGTCCACTCCCTTACTCTGTCCCAGCTGTAAGACACAAAAGTGCAGGACAAGGCCCTTCCCTCCCACTCAAAGGAATTCACTAGTCAGCTTGGTCCTGAGAAGAAACAGCCTGATTTCCTGTGGCAGCAAAAGCCCCTGGATCAACCCTCCTCTGAGAACTCTCACCTGCCCAGAGAGCAGGGGTCGCCATGCCTGTAGCTTCTCCCTCCAGGCCCTGCTCTGGCCCCCTGGCCTCCCGCTCCCGGGCTGGGCCCGGGCCTCACCTGTTGGCCTTCAGGTTTTTCAGTCGGGCTTCCAAGTCATTGAGCAGGTTGATTTTCTTGCAGCATTGAGAGCAGTAAACATCTAGCAATTCGCTGTTGTACACATGCCGCATTTTCCTAGGCGTCTGCCCCGCACTGGTTCACGAGGGAAAGGAATCACCACCTTAATTGCTGTCCAGTCTGGTGCCCTATGCCACCCTGCTGAGCTGACTTTACTTGAGTCCCCAGTACCTTTGAACCTTGTTAGGGAGAGGGGCAGGGAGTGGAAGTATAGCAACAGATCATCCCTTCTCCAACACGCTCAAAGAGAAGCCAGTGATGCATACCCATTTAACAGCTAAGGCAAACTGCAAGCTCATTTCAGAGAAAGTGGTGACTCAGGTGGGTGAGAAGGGATCGCAGAGGGTCACTTGGAAGGACCCTTCAACACTGAGGCTCTAGGACACAAGATGACACACAGCCCCATGGCCCCCAGTGTGCAGCCTCCTAGGTCAGTTAATTCAGGAGGAACTTCTGACCCCTACTCAGGGTGCAAAGGTAGCAACCCCAAGCCCCAGGAGCAGAACTCATGTAGCTTAGGACAAAGGAAAAGGCGCCAGCTCAGGACTCGACCCCCGCCCCGACCCCCTAGGATGTGCTCAGAATGGTTCTGCAACTTTTGACCCCAAATGACATCCCCGACCAAGGGGCCACCTGGAAGACACCGAAGACCCCAGGTCCGAGTAGACGTTGGTCCTGGTCTCATCATCGGGGCAAGGGCTGCTGGGGGCGCAGTCCACGTCGTCACCCTCCCCGTAGTCTTCAAACTGCTCCTCATTGCTGATAAGTGAGGTGGTGGAGTGTGTAGAAAGGTCTGAGGTCGTCATGGATGGAGTGTGGACCAGGGACCTGAGGGTCCAAAAGCACCCAAGTCAGAGGAGGACTCATGGGTCCCCAGCCACAGCCTGCAGTAGGGAAACTGAGTAGGCATTTCCCTTTAATTGGCACTACCAATTAAGTGTTTTTTTTTTGTTTTTTTTGTTTTTTGGGGGGGGATGGTGTCTCGCTCTGTCACCCAAGCTGGAGTGGAGTGGCGCAATCTCGACTCACTGCAAGCTCCGCCTCCCAGGCTCATGCCATTTTCCTGCCTCAGCCTCCTGAGTAGCTGGGACTACAGGTGCCCACCATCACGCTCGGCTAATTTTTTGTATTTTTAGTAGAGACGGGGTTTCACTATGTTAGCCAGGATGGTCTCGATCTCCTGACCTCGTGATCCACCTGCCTTGGCCTCCCAAGTGCTGGGATTACAGGCGTGAGCCACCGCGCCCGGCCTACCGATTAAGTTTGTACTTCTTGACCTGGTAAGTACATTTCAGGGACCCTATCTAAAGGGAAACATCTCACCACAGAAACCATCTCTGCAGTTCAAACCAGTTCTACCCATGCTACCCCAGAGGAGCAAAACACTGCTTACAACCTAACTGTCTAGCTACAGCTAGACCAAATTATAATTATTAAATTATAATGGGAGTAAATTATTAAATTGCAGAATATCAAACAGTTGTTGAAAGGTTAAAACACTTGGAGTAGTGGCCGGGCATGGTGGCTTATGCCTGTAATCCCAGCACTTTGGGAGTTTGAAGCAGGCGGATCACAAGGTCAGGAGATCGAGACCACCCTGGCAAACACAATGAAACCCCATCTCTACTAAAAATACAAAAAATTAGCTGGGCGTGGTGGTGGGCACCTGTAGTCCCAGCTACTCGGGAGGCTGAGGCAGGAGCATGGCGTGAACCCGGGAGGCGGAGCTTGCAGTGAGCTGAGATCACGCCACTGCACTCCAGCCTGGGTGACAGAGCGAGACTTCATCTCAAAAAAAAAAAAAAATTTCAGAGTAGCTGCTCTCCCTATGTAGTAGCCATTCTTTTATTCCTTTATTTCCCTAATAAACTTGCTTTCACTTTATGGAGAAAAAAAAAAACACCCAAACATTGAGAGTAATATAGGAAATGAATATAATCGATCTAAAATTTTAGATAGTGTAAGACTGAGTATGGTCGTCCCTTGGTATCCAAAAGAGATTTGTTCCAGGACCCCCTGTGGACACCAAAATCTGAGGATGCTCAAGTCCCAGATATGAAATGGCACAGTATTCACATACAACCTATGCATATCCTCCTGTATACTTGAAATCATCTCTAATGTAATGTAAATGCTATGGAAATAGTTGTGAGAAGGGATCACAGAGGGTCACTTGGAAGGACCCTTCAACACTGAGGCTCTAGGACACAAGATGACACAGAGCCCCATGGCCCCCAGTGTGCAGCCTCCTAGGTCAGTTAATTTTTTTTTTTTATAAGTTTTTTATTTGTGTTGTTTTTTTATAAGTTTGTCTTTTTTCTTTTTTTTGGAGACAGAGTCTCGTTTTGTCGCCTGGCTGGAGTGCAGTGGTGCAACCTCTGCCTTCCAGGTTCTAGTCAATCACCTGCCTCAGCATCCTGAGTAGCTGGGAGTAGCCTCCTCCTGCCACCACACACAGCTCATTTTGTATTTTTAGTAGAGATGGGGTTTTTGCCATGTTGGCCAGGCTGGTCTCAAATTCCTGGCCTCCGGTGATCTGCCCGCCTCAGCCTCCCAAAGTGCTGGGATTACAAGGCTGCTCCCAGAAAGCAGCACGGCCCCTCTCTCCATCCACAGCCCCAAAGGACCCCACCAAGAACATGGGGACTCTGAGAACCACTTGAGTTTGAGAAATCCTGCATTGAGATGTACTAGGTTGAACCTCATGAAATCACCTTTTTTTTTTTTTGAAGATGGAAATGATTAAAAGTTGTCAGTTTCATGTGGTTCAACCAACACGGGAACCCCTCTCTTCCCTCTCCAAGTCCCTGCAGCAGCCGTAACCATCACCTTCTGGTAAGGGGTTGCCACTTGCACTCCCCTCGGCTTCCTCAGGCACAAGGGTGGCAGCTCCCCACCACCCCACAGCGCTGCATCCCTCAAGAGACTTGGTGAGGGCTGAGATGGAAGGGACTCCTTCCTGCCAAAACCGATGTTAAAGATGAAACTGCTTCACTGGGAAGTCACTTAAGTCTTAATGTTGTTTTTAAATAACATTTCTGATTATGGGAATACATGCTCAATATAGAAAATATAGCAGAATAGATGGGAGGTAATTAAAATGATCAGTTGGCCGGGCACGGTGGCTCGCGCCTGTAATCCCAGCACTTTGGGAGGCCGAGGCAGGTGGATCACAAGGTCAGGAGATCGAGACCATCCTGGCCAACATGGTGAAACCCCATCTCTACTAAAAATATAAAAAATTAGCCAGGCGTGGTGGCGGGCACCTGTAGTCCCAGCTACTCGGGAGGCTGAGGCAGGATAATCACTTGAACCTGGGAGGCGGAGCTTGCAATGAGCTGAGATCATACCACTGCACTCCAGCCTGGGTGACAGAGTAAGGGTCTGTTTAAAAAAAAAAAAAAAAATCATCCTACCATACATAAATAACTGCTTAATTTTCCAGATTAATTTTTTCTAGGCATTTCCTAACACATATGTCTATGTTTTTTTTTTGTTTTTTTTTTTTAAAGAGATGGGGTCTTGCTAAGTTGCCCAGGCTGGAGTGCAGTGACTACTCACTGGTGTGATCCCACTACTGATCAGCACTCAAGTTTTGACCTGCTCTATTTCTGACCTGGGCCAGTTTATCCCTCCTTAGGCAACATGGCGGTGCCCCACTCCCGGGAGGTCACCATACTGATGCTGAACTTAGTGCAGACATCCGATCAGAATAGTGCACTAGAGCCCAGAACTCCTGGGCTTCAGCAATCCTCCTACCTTAGCCTCCCAAGTATCTGGGACTACAGGCACATGCCACTTGCCTGGCATATGTTTGTGGTTTTGTTGTTGTTGTTGTTGTTGTTGAGACGGAGTCTCACTCTGTTGCCCAGGCTGGAGTGCAGTGGCCGGATCTCAGCTCACTGCAAGCTCCGCCTCCCGGGTTTATGCCATTCTCCTGCCTCAGCCTCCGGAGTAGCTGGGACTACAGGCGTCCGCCACCTCGCCCAGCTAGTTTTTTGTATTTTTTTAGTAGAGACGGGGTTTCACCGTGTTAGCCAGGATGGTCTCAATCTCCTGACCTCGTGATCCGCCCGTCTCGGCCTCCCAAAGTGCTGGGATTACAGGCTTGAGCCACTGCGCCCGGCATGTTTGTGTTTTTAACAAAGCTGATCTCATGGACATCTTTGTAACCTGCTTTTTTTTGTTTTTGTTTTTGTTTTTGAGACACAGTCTTGCTCTGTTGCCAGGCTGGAGTGCAGTGATGTGATCATAGCTCACTGTAACCTTAAACTCCTGGGCTCAAGTGATCCTCCTGCCTCAGTCTCCCAAAGTCCTGGGGTGATAGGTGTGAGCCACCATGCCTGGCCACAACCTTTTTTAAAACTAATTGAGATCATGTATCTCATATCATTAACAGTCATTTAAAACTTGACTTTGTCTGCAGGACTAGCACTGAAAATAAAGTAAAATTAAATTTAAAAACTTGACTTTGCGCGGCTGCCTAAAATTCCAAAACTATCCCTTCCTGTTAAGCATTTAGTATGTTTAGAATCTTTTGCTATTCAGCTAATGCCTCTGATACAAATTTTGAGCATGTTTCACATTTACTTCCTGGAGACACTTTCCAAGAACCACATTTCTGGGCTGAGAGGGCAAATACTGAGCTTCAGGCGGTTTTAACTCACTTGTCCTCTGGCAGAAACAGGCCCCCAAGTCCCCCGTCCTTCTCGGCAGGACTCCCGACAGACCCCTCCAGGCTCTGAGGGCTCTCCATGGGGCTGTCCGTGTCCAACTCCTGGGGGCCCTCAGGTGGCGCCAGCGTCATAGCCTCCTCCTCGTCCTCGGGAAAAAAACTGGGCTCCCTGGGGATGAGCTCGCCATCAGCAAAGGTGGGGCCTGTGACTTCGCTGCCCTGGAAAAGAAAGAGCATGGACAAGGTAAGTGAGGCCAGCTTCCCAGGGCTCAGTGTTCCACTCAGACCGCAAGGGCATCAGCCAGGCCAAAATAGCAGGGATTGGGTGCAGGAGGCCCAGACCCCGAGACCCTAAGTGTGGGAACACCTGGCAGGTGATTAGTCCTAGGGACCTCTAATACTGGCTGACTCATGAGTGTCTAGTGAGGAGCTGGAACTCCCAGGAACAGCCATCCATGAAGAAGGGCCACAGTCAGGCCAGCCACTTCCATTCAGGGCACCCTGGTTGGCACATCAGAGCCCCCACTATGGCAGAATATGGCACATCAGAGCCCCCACTGAGGCAGGGAACATAAGGCTGATGCACGCTGACTTCCTAGAGCTAAATCAAAAGAAAAACCTCAGTTTTCTGCTCCCAAGTAGCTACTCCCTTTGCATCCCCGCCCCTCCTACCCACTGCCCCCTCACTCCCCCATCCCCCAACCTTTAGCTGCCTGGCAGATGAAAAACTGAGAGTATCTCTGATTGGTCCCCTCCTGCAACCAATCAGGCTGGTCACAGGCTGAGTTTTCATTTGCATAGGAGTATAACTTTGTAACTTCACTTTAGTCTCTGGTTGGTTGCTTTCTGCAACCAATCAGATGTTTACATAGGGTGTAACTTTGTAACTTCACTTCACTTGGGCCTCTGGTCCCCTCCTGCAACCAATCAAACTGTGGGCCCCTACTTCATTTACATAGGGTGTACACCAAGTAACCAATGGGAAACCTCTAGATGGTATTTAAACTCCAGAAAATTCTGCAACCAGGCTCTTGATCCCCTATGCTTGGGCCTGCTCCCACCCTGTGGAGTGTACTTTTTTTTCAATAAATCTCTAGACCGGGCGCAGTGGCTCACGCCTGTAATCACAGCACTTTGGGAGGCCGAGGCAGGTGGATCACAAGTCAGGATATCGAGACCATTCTGGCTAACATGGTGAAACCCCGTCTCTACTAAAAATACAAAAAATTAGCCGGGCGTGGTGGTGGGCGCCTGTAGTCCCAGCTACTCGGGAGGCTGAGGCAGGAGAATGGCGCGAACCCGGGAAGTGGAGCTTGCAGTGAGCTGAGATGGCGCCACTGCACTCCAGCCTGGGTGACAGAGCGAGACTCCATCTCAAAAAATAAAATAAATGTCTGTTTTTGATGTTTCATTCTTTCCTTGTTTTTTTTTGTGCATTTTGTCCAATTTTTTTGTTCCAGACACCAAGAACCTTCCACTGGTAACACCACCACAAAAGTCTCTGCCAGAGGAAGTCAAATGGCTTCGAAAAGGCTTCTTGGTGCCCCATGTAAGGGGTGCCCCATGTAAGCTATTCACACTGAATAGCTTTTAGGATCAACTCTGATCTAGTAGACTTTGCTGCAACGTGGTACAGTGAACGCTGCACAACTTGGGATCCACCCTCCGTGACTCTGGGCACATCATGGAATGTTTCTGAACCTCGCTGGTCTCTGTAAATCAGGAATGGCGATGAAATCTTACAGGATCACTGTGTTGATTAAATGAGGTATTTCACATTAGCATCTAACACACAGTAGGACCTCAACAAATAAACCCCGGCCAGAAGATATGATGCCCAGCTCAGGAGGCAACTGCCTGCCTGCGCCCTGCCACAGCCTTGCTGGGAGCAAGAACGCCAGGCCTCACTCCTGAGCGCTGCTTGTGCTGGGTCTGCCGCCCAGCACAATGACGGTGTGTGGTAAAGACATGCTGGCACCTTTTGCGTAACTCATCAGATAGAAGAGCTTTGGCCTGCTTCAGAGTTGACCCTCGACTGAGGGGCAGCTCTCTGTAAACCATTTACTGGGGCCACTTCACCTCTGAGGAGGGAGGTACTTCTCAGGTGGCACTGCTTCTACCTGACCCATTGGAGAGGTCAGCCTGTTCCCAAGGTTCTTTGGTGTGCTCCTCAGCCAGGGCTGGCAGGGCACGCTATTAAAGGACCTGCAGTCCCGAGACTACAGAAGGGCAACAGAAACAGGCTGGGAAAAGCCTCCTGGCGTCTCAGACAGGAACAGGTTCAGGGACAGCTGAAGAAGCTGCTCAGCAACAGGCCTGGATGTGCCTGCCCAGACATGTGCAGCTGTCTGTTGCCACCAGTGAGCTGGCAGCCCTCCTGGGGGTCCATCCCCACCAGGAGACCCCTGGACTAAAAATAGATGACAATATTATAATGAGCCTGGTTCCTGCCTGTGCTGTGATAGGCTGAGCACCAGACAGACCAATAACACGAGCACTGGCGAGCCAGGTGTGCCAACAGTGGAGACTGTGGAGACAGGTTGTGTAATGAGAATCCCTCCAGGGTTCCAAGGCCCTTTCCACCCACATACTAATCTCATCACATGGCTCCCAACCTATCAGATCTTGTACCCCAAGTAAGCTCTTCATCTCCAAGCCTGAAGCTGCATCCCAGTGGAAACAAAAGGAAACCAGCATCACTAAACAGCCATCAGGCTCCAGAGATCGAGCTGGGCATTCACATACTATCCAACCTGTGCTTCATGACAGCTCTTCAGGGCAGTGATCGTTATCCCCATTTTACTGATGGGGAAACAGAGGCTCAAAGAGTAGCATGTCAGAAGTCCTCCAGCCAGAGGGCAGGGCAGGGCAGGGCAGGGCCCACTCCCCCGTCCCACCCCTGCCGCCTGCCTTCGCATCCACACACTTGATTCCATTTATCCTTGATGCCTCCCACACTTTGTGGATTTTCAAACCTCATGGTGACAACAAGGAGAGCACATTTTATAGGGACATGTGAATCCTTAGCACACCCCCTAATGTAGCAACTTCCACTTAACACCCCCACAGGACACTGCAGGTTAGTGCAGGGACACCTAAGAGAAACAAGGCAGGAGGGAGACCGGAAGAGAACTGGGGCTCTCAGAGGACCATGTGCCTGGTCTGTTCTTTCACCTGGCCATGAAGAACTGCAAACTTTTCACTTTCCCGGCCACACGAGTAGGGAGAGTTCCGCCTTGCTGGGAATGCCCGCCCTGTGGCTTACACGTGAGCTCAGCAGCGTGGCAACGGCGTTCTTCTGGTCTTCACCCCAGCCCGATGAGCTGAGCCTCTTTTCCCCTTTCTACACAGCCGGGTCGGGACAGGGATACCACTCTGTGTCCCCAATGCCCACCTTCCCCCTACAGCCACGTCCTAGTGAGGCTGTGGCCCGCTGGCTCCCAGAGGCAGGCAGAGGGCCCGGCACAGATCAGCGTCCGTGCTCCTCAGGTGTCCGACGTGGCCTTTGGCCAACTTGGGTTTAGCTCACTGACACGACGACACAGAGGCCAAGTGTGTGCCAGGCACTGCCCCACTAACACCTGGCTCACGGCATGCAGGTGGAACCGCCAGGCCCTCTCACCCAATGTCCACGGCAGCGTCCTGATACTCCCAGCAGCTGGCCCAAGCCCCTGACAAGGTAGACAGAGCAGCCTCAGATGGCTTGGCTCAGGCACAGGCGGGGCAGAGCAGGGCACCAGGGTCCTACCCTCCAAAGAAGACCACCACCTCCTTGGGCAGGCTTTCAGGCTTGGACTAAGTGGAGTCCACATCTGCCCAGCCCTTCAGCAAGCTCCTCGCCTGTCTCACATACCCCATCCCTCACAACGGCCCCGTGCGAGCTGCCTGGGGTGGGCAGGGCAAAGATTTGGGATTCATCGGCTCTGTCTGACACCTGGCGAAGATGAGGCTCAGAGTGGGAGGGCGGCTGCCCTGGAACCTCACAGTTCACAGAGGGCCTGCGGGGACCTGACGCCGGCTCTGACACGCCAAGCCCTCACCCACCTGGCCACACACGCGCACACTCTCTCTCTCTCCAGCTTTTTCTCTTAAAAATGGCTGCTCCCAACATTAATACCTTTCATTCAACCCACAGCTGTTTGTCCAAGGCAATCGGAAATTTTAATTATTACTTTAAACCATTTCTAGTAGTTTGCCCGCTAAATTCAAATATTATAAAGACAGCTTACTGCACGCCTTGGTTAGCCCAGGACAGTACTGGTTTGTGCCTATCCCGAGACCCCCTTGGTTTGGTATTTGCCATGGTCACCCTTGCTCCTCCCTGAGGGCCGAAGTCCCCAGCCCCAGTTCTTGTTTCCCCAGCCCTCTGGGGAAGGGTCTGGTGGAAGCCCCCGCTCCTTCTCCCGCCTGGAGGGGAGATGCTGGAAGGTGCCAGAACGCAGCCTCTTCTCTCCTCCTTAAGCCACCATTCAAGTTCTCCGAGGGAGAACTCGGAGTCAAGCATATTAGAACTCTTCTTGGACAATTTCCCTTTTGTATTTTTTTTTTTTTTTTTTTTTGAGACGGAGTCTTGCTCTGTAGCCCGAGCTGGACTGCAGTGGCTGGATCTCAGCTCACTGCAAGCTCCGCCTCCCGGGTTTATGCCATTCTCCTGCCTCAGCCTCCGGAGTAGCTGGGACTACAGGCGCCCGCCACCTCGCCCGGCTAGTTTTTGTATTTTTAGTAGAGACGGGGTTTCACCGTGTTAGCCAGGATGGTCTCGATCTCCTGACCTCGTGATCCGCCCGTCTCGGCCTCCCAAAGTGCTGGGATTACAGGCTTGAGCCACCGCGCCCGGCTGTATGTTTTTTAGATAAAGTTGCAGAGAAAAAGGAAGAACTTGGCCATAATAAAAACATTGCCCTCATAAGGTTTCCAGGTGGCCTGGGGTCACAGGCTTCCGGAGGCAGTGGGTTCCTCTCCAGCCAGGCTGCCTGCAGGTCAGGATCATGCGGAGCCCCCTGATGAATACACTTCCAAGTAGACTAGGGGCCATGGGAGAGGAACCATCACCCCATCTCACCACGCTGCGCTTGTCCAGAGAGCCGCCCGCTCACCCCGGCTGCACGGTCTGCATCCTCACCACAGTGGCGCCCACCCAAGGCTGGCTCTGCAGGGCTGGCGAGAGCAGCGGGGCAGGGACAGGGCCTCCCCAGTGCTCATGTTTCTAGGTGGCCGGA